GAATAAACGATAAATTAAGGCTAAGCGTGAACTTCTAGAAGAAAGAGCGTCAAACCTGATGACCTTTATAAACGTTGTTTGTCTTCTATAATTATTTTTTTTGCGTTTAAGTATGCAAATATAGAGTGTAAAAACGCCATGGTGATTCCCTGGCGGAACAACTCCTAGGTTGCCCGTTACGCACCACTCGATCGAAATACGAAAAGAGTACCTTTTTTATTCAAATCCAAGAGTAATTCTCGAAGATTCAGCATTAAAATTGCCGCTTCTACACAACAGATGCATTGTTTCCAGCAAAAGCTCAAACTACGTTCAGCCTTTATGTGAACCAGCACCCCACAACAAACGCTGTTCACAGTTATAAGAACATTTCTGAAACAACAGGATCAAGGGGTTGCCTGGAGCTTAACTAGGTCAAAGGATATTTTTCTTCTAGTTCGTAGCAAAATGCCAAGTAATTATAGACAAAATAGAAGGCACCTAGGAATCAGCGATGTAGTCATGTGCTGCGATTTTCTATTAAAGTGTTAGCAAGTTCGCGGTGAATAGCACAATTGAGCTCCGTCTGCTCTTGCACGTGACATCGCTCTGCGCAAACGTAAACAGGAGGGAAAAGATACACAGTTTGCACCTTATTCTAGAAAAGCATTCTAAGATATATGTAGATTATATATATATATATATATATATATATATATATATATATATATATATATATATATAGAAAAGCAGTATTTGGGATAACAAGTGGGGCTAGTCGCTTTCTTTTGATCAAGACTGCTTAGTGCTAGGAATATCGCCCCCACCATGTCCTCTCTGCCACCTTACGTTCTCGTCGCTTGAAACAGCAGTTCTATACAATTTGAGCGTAAAAGCAGTTGTGGACTACTTGAGTATACTAAAAAACATAATCTAGATCTCGTTTAAACAGTAGAGGTTAGGTCTGCTGTCAGCCCATGTGATCACATATCCGCATTACTTTATGCGAGTGCATTCTACCTTTTTTTTTCTAGCTAGGTGTTATAAATCGTCAAGGTACGACTTTCTCACTTGCGAGCTGGAGATTGAAAACACATAGCGTTCGACATATACTTCGTTGAATAGCCTTCTGTTTTAGAAACTTCTCAGATACAAAAAAGTTCCAGTGGTCCTACGTCGCTGTCCATCTACTCTTCCGGAAGCCACTAAATGCATCGTACGCATTGCCACCCATTATCGTCGCAGTCATTCTAATTGCGTCTATTTGCGCGGACGTCACGAAGCCAGCAGTGTCCTATAAAGGATATGGAGACAACTTGACAGGCGGGATTTCTGAAAAAAGGATACTTTTTACCCTATTATCTCGCAGCGCCCTTTCAGCTAAATCTACAATGCTAGGTCTCACAGTCCAAGCGTCCGTTGACGTCGCAATAGGTACCATCACTACCTTTGCCTAATTCCGTTTTTGCTCAAGATTTCCAAAAATAAAAAACTGTCGATTAGAAAGCGGACAAGTTAACAGGCAACTTCAGACCATACGCCCGCCTATATCTCCGCCATTCAGTGTACTTGTGAAAACAGCAACTGTAGCTTACTACTACGTGGTAGTAGTAGAAGCTTAAGTAATTTGGTTGTGCGTAATGGGTATTTGAACGGGCAAGACGGGCACGCGTTAGCATCACCTATCTGTTATATTAGTGTGTGCAAGGTGTAACATCAAGCTCTACACTAAGCACCGACATCCTCAAACGTAACTAATCTTTGTCAGTTCAGCTTTGCTGTCCGTTAGTGCCAGCATCCTCTATGCAACTTGGTCATGAACAGAGGCCAAGCAAAGCGGCTATTTGTAAAGAACCCGTTAAGGAGACACTGGACCGTGACACGCTGGTGCGTGAAACAACCATCCACCATGGACTCCTATTACAGCATTCTTCACGCATGAGGCACGTCGGCCACGAAGATAAGACTCTTGCTGTCTTCTATTAATTTTATGCAACGAGAGGAAGCAACGTTTAGTGCGTGCTGCGACGAGAGTGGGAAGAGTTTGTTCTGTCGGCAAAAAACTAAATGGTGTATTACCGATCATCTCTACGAGATAGATCCGTCGTGTTAGAATGCGGCACGGAAATAGAGAGAGCTCTTTATTCTATTTCCATGCGTATTGTTTTATGTTTATTATTCTGCAAGCCATGACTTCGATTTCAAATGGGGTATAAGTAAAATGTTTCATTTTTTATTATTATCTATTATATATTTATTATATCCGTTAGTCCAGGGTTTCGTCATTTATCTCATTATCCAGTTGATCGGTTCTCCCCTGTCAATAGATGGGCAATTCGAGGCGAAATCCTTTGTGCGGCACTTACTCTGTAATAGTTTCACATTGTTGAACACCTGTTACTGGCGAAAGCATTGTTCACGCGCCAGCATTTCTGCCGTCGTGGTCATTACCTCGTTGTCACCCTGCACTTCTAATGAATCTTTCAGAGGTCGGCTTGGGTCGCCAATTACGCTGGCGAATTTTTGAGGACAGAAACAGCAGAGGGGTTGGTATGGTTGCTACCGTGTTAGGTTAGGTTGGAGATTAGGTGACAGGACCCACATGTACAGCGATACTTCTCCTGTCACTGTTATGAGACGGTAAAGCGACACAGAGGTAGTGCTCGTACAAACAGTAGAAAGTAAAGAGGCCTATAGTCAGGGCCATTCAAAGCCTATTGGCATTGGAAAATCCTAGCTAGAGATCACGATCACACTTGTGATGTTCTTAGCGGGGGTAACTGCTGAGTATTTATTAGTTTTTCCTTAAACTAGCCCAAACCGGAAAGAAAAAAGCACAGGAAGCGCTCGACTCTGGTTAAATTTTTGTCATCAAACTCCTTCCCATTCACTGTTCACTTCAGTAACGGAGAGACGACTTCGCTCTTGCCAGCGGTATGTACGTCTGTGTAAACGTTCCAGTCAAACTTCATTCGACATCGACGCTCACATCCCACATCCGCGTTCCTTACGTACGGAGACGTCGAAAACGTGCTAATCACCACTTACGAGAAAAGAACAAGTGTCCTGAAGAGCTACTAAATCAGTTTAAGCTGCTGCGTCTATTCAGCATAAAGAGTACGATACATTCCACATGCGGTGCAGCGTAATCGAAAAGTACATTTCTTTCGCAACGGAGCCAAAAACAAATTGTTTAGGATCGTTAGGATCGCAGTTAGTCGGCTAGCACGCGATGCCATAGCCCTTTTAAATAGACACTTAAAAGAAGTAACTAAATCGTCTGATGTTCAAATAAGATTGTAAGGGGAAGTTAAAAGCTAAGGCAGTAAATACTATATATCTACTATTGTATATCCGAATGTATTTTTCTACATTTTGTACATTAGACTCACACTGGCCAGTCATTCGAAAAGCCCTATCCCTATAGATGCGTGCATCGTTTTCCTAACTAGTGACAGAATTACATCATTTGGCTAATGGTGTAGGTGGCTTTTTCAGCTCAAATAGTGTAAAAGGACCACACTTTAGTACACAGGACTTTAGCTTAATGACAAATATTAAAAAAATAATAAGGTGCATATCTTAGACGTGCCGGCGCGTAGAACAATGCTTACGGGAAACTTCAAATTTCAAAGCAAACTATGGGTTTTGAGTCTGTAGCTATTTAATATTAGCCTTTCTCCTTTCGCAAAGTCGATTCTGTGAGTTAAATTATGATCGCATCATATAATAGACGACAGTATAGCTGAACTTGGTATTAACCCAGGGATCTAGGTCAGAATCAGCGACGCAGAAACGGGATTAGGATACTGAAACGAACAGCACAAAACAGAAGAAAAGGACAGAGGAACTTCACTCAGGCCAAGACGAATCAGTAGCATGCTATCAGGAATCGTAGCGAAATCTTTCCCTATTAATGAACGATTTAAAAGATACTTGCTTGCAAGTCCGTTTTCCACCTCAAGTTTTCAAAATTTCTGAACATTCGAGATGTTGATTACTTAACCGTAAATGCGCGTGTAATTAACTTCAGTATCGCAAAACAAGAATCTTATCGATGGAATCGATTCTATCCATAAAATTTTTCTTCAAGGTTCTCCGTTGTTGTTGGATGTTGACGAAAATCAAAGTTTTATGAAACTTTAGAATTAATCCTATCTGAACAAGAAAATCCATCCTTGGACGGAGAAACTGTTTGCATAACGAGGTAGTAACTTTTCGTAGAGCTATTATAGTTTGATTTGAAGGCAGAAGACAACAATTATGGAATCTGCATTTAATGTTAGTTATACAATCTAGGCTGTACATCTTTCGCTAAGGCAGTAGGGCGCACCGTTTCAAGCTAATTTTTTGCTTAACACAGTAGCTATCTATACTGTATGATATTACGCTGGGATCGGCTTGCTTGTACATCGGAACTGTTACCGTTTAGGTCTGTATGTACAGAGCACATCATGCATGCATGAAACGCCTTGAACCAGTCGTTACCTCAATTCCTCAATTAAAGACGGGACCAGTCGGTAAGCTGCTCAACACAGCGTAAGTCCCATAAGTTCCGCATCTTTCTGAAACCATACCCTTAGTGTGTGTATAACTATAGCATAGTATATTCCTTAGAGATCTTTGCGAAAATCCGTATTTATTGATAGTCCCCATGCTAAGTATAGCATTTGTACCGCATGCACATAACTTATCTTACGCACACTCCTACTCTACCTGAAATAATGAAAAATGGAGAAATAATGAGGATTTAAGGGTAATAGGACGCAAAGTGACATGCATGTCTGATAACCCAACAAACATTGCTTCCTACGCAATTAATTAAATCAGGATGAAACAATCACAGATTCTCGTGACGAAAATGCGTAGGTAATGCTAACGATTCATCGAATAGTAGGACGTCACCGTATAAAAACCATTGAATAAGCCACATACAGATAGAGTACCATATAGTATGTACCCTACTACAGAACACTACGCCAAAAGATTACCCGTTCAGCCAATAGATTATTATTGTTAGCAAGTACAGCAGTCGCAAATAGCAATCATATTATTCACATAGCATCAAAGTTAAATCTGTGTGCCTGCTGTTGACGCTCAAGACGATCCGCCTTTTTTTCAAGGAGATGCAACAACATAACCACAAGTAGATTAACGCAAACGATTCCACAGAAGGCAAAGACTGTGTAAAGCATTTTTTTTGAGGGTTTGATAAAGATTTTTGTCTGCCATTCTGATGGGTCTCTAGCCGGGTAAGGAATAACGAGTATTTGCGAGTTGGGAATAATTTGTATCCATTGATGGCCCGATGCGAGGCCAGGCATTCGAATCAGGAGGGTCTCAACAAAGTTTGGAGACAATCCGAGTCCGAAAACAATATACGGCAGCTGCAGTGAACCGTGACCTGTCTGGTAAAGCTGAGCTGCTATGGACACGTGCTTACTACTATCTGAAGTCACGATCTCGTATCGAGCCATCGGGCCGGGCTGGTTATAGCCATATTCGATAGTATCGCCAACACCTGCACATTGGCGTTTACTACAGAGGCCACTAGCGACGACGACCTTGATAAAGCACACATCTTCCACATAATTATTTCTTAATGCTTCAAACTGCCAATCCGTGTGTTGCAAGCTACCTGTCGTCAGCAACACATCAAGCTTGCCATCCTCTTGAAGGTCGAAAAAACCCACATTAGTAACCTGGAGAACCGCTGCTACATCACCTATATTTGTGTAGCCCTCAAGCTGACGGCCTTCGACACAGATGGAGTCTTTATTGTTGCTACACTTTCGATTGCGGAAGCCGACCACAGCTCGATTTCCACTGATAAGATTGACAATTGTCATAAAATCTGGATAACCGTCCTGATCAACGTCGGCAGACCTGAACGCCATCATGGCATTCACAGTGCGCTCATACAATGCGTCTTTCCAGAATGTCTCACCATTATGCAGCTGATAGAGAACCTTCCAGTAGCCATTGCCGGTATTATCTAGGTTCGATGAATTTTTACCAATCCAAATATACACAAGATCACAGAGCGCGCTGCAGAACTGCACGATGTGCAATAACTGGCCAATTGAAGCGAAGTCAACGAACGTCGACTGCCCTACCACTGCCGCGGTCCTCCCTTCGGGATAGGGCCGATTTGGGCCCTTTTCCCAAACGGCAGGAGCTCGCCAAAGCCATATCTCAAAGAAGTGTTGAGTCGAAATAAGTAAATCCGGGTTAAGATCACCGTTGAGATCGACGAACGAATTCGAGTGAGGACTGACAATTTCTGGCAACTTATCACCCTCAGAACTGTTGAGGTTACCCCGAATACACTGATTAATTCCCTGTACACCGGATATACATTGAAGTACATTGCGTTGACGCGCATCTCCAAGCGACGTTAAGATGTCGACGACATGATCTCCATTATAGTCAAACAGTAAGGGCTCGACGTATACATCGGTGATATTAATGTAGTCCGAGAAATTTAGTGGTAGGTCAAAAAACTGTCCGGTGCCCCAAAAGATCGTTATTGTTCTGGCCTCCCGTGAGTATACGATGATATCCACTATCCGATCACCATTGAGATCGCCGGGTATAACCGAAGTAATACGTGATGGAAAATCTGGCAAAAGGACATACCGCGTATATTTTTCGTCTTGAAAGCGCGACTGCAGTGCAATATTTACCTCCAAAGAGCGAAAACCCTTACTAGGAGAATCCGGGGCAACGAGCACAAAGACATCGATTAATTTGTCGCTGTTAAAGTCGGCGAAAGCCGCAAGATAACCAGACCGATTAAAGAACGTTCGATTGCCGACATTGACGAACGAGTCACGAACGCCGTCTGAGAAATGACTCATTAATGGTACAAAGATCAACAAAGCACCTAACATTTTCAGACTAAAGCTTCTCATGAGCATTGTTGTTCGGCCAATGCAGAATACGCCTACGGTCGTTGACGGCTAGAACGCCTCACTGCAAATTAATCAAAAGTGGGCGTTAAGTTTTATTGCAAGTCGGTCGAAATAAAAAAGCCTTACACTAGAAAGGGTGATCGAAGTCCTTCTCCGTACATTTCTCCGAGTTCCAAGTACAAACCGAATTTAGCTCAACATCAAAGCAATACAGACGGCTTGAGAAGCGCGATCCGGACGAAGTTCTTACTGCCTGGGACAGGATCTTTTGTTTGACAATTTTTACTTCTTTGAAGCCATAATCTCATAGCTTAAGGACTTATTATATCGCCGAAAGTGAGCTTCGTTATTACCAAGGCTTGGCGTGTGAGATAATAGAATGTTTACTGTGCAAACACCGCTAAAGTAAATTTTGTAATTTTTCTTGTAGAACATCTACCTGGATTTAATATTATCTTGTCGCAGAGCACGAGCTAATCTAGCTTGGTAACTTATATAAGTTAGACGATGTTCCAATACAGTCTTAACTAATTTGGTTCAATCATAAATCATGATTTCTTACTTTTCTATATCAACGTGAGAACAGGTCCCATTAAAGTGGCATGGTACACTGGATTGATAAAACGAAGCGAATTATTAGGAATCATGTTTATGTATATATACATATATTCTTTGCACATGTAGTACGTATGCACAATGCTGCGCGTATTTGAATTGTAGAAATCTTATAATAAAAAAACAAAAATTACTTCCCCTAAAATGTATTATAGAACCTTTTCTATTTGTTATTAATTAATTTCGGGTTTTCGAGAACCCAGCTTCAGGTGTGTTATTATATCCTAAAACACTATATATATATATATATATATATATATATATATATATATATATATATATATATATATTGTTGAGTAATAAGTTGATGAACTAGCGTCTATCATGTTAGGCCGACCCTCTCTATATTATAGATAACTACTAGCGTTAAAGCTTGAACTATGTGTTGACGGTATCGACTGATGACCTTCGATGAGAAATTCAGCAAAACGGAAAGACTTGATAAGTTATATATATATATATATATATATATATATATATATATAACTACCGAAGGTGCTAAGTTACAGTTCAATATATCGTTTGTACCACTTATGTCACAAATTCAGTTGCATTATTAAAATACCTAACCATTGAGTTAACGGAGCATTATGTATCACTTTGCGTTAGCTAGCCACGATGATCATATAGAGCGATTTAAGTTTTATCTGCTATGTTATAGATGTAATACTTACATTAAAAAAACATTAAATTATGGATACGCAAAAACATAAAAACATTGATGTGTTATTAATTTCACCATCTTAACATATATGGCAATGTTTGTTCAGTTAATAGGTGATCTGCCATGGAGAACTTGTAGGCTCGGCATATCAGCTGTTTCTGCAGACATAGCGACATAGCGGCTGAGTAAACGTTCATTGGTTTGTAAAATCTAAGTGCTTTTTTGCTTATTCTCTAATAAAATGATGGGAATACATCAAAGATTTAATCCAAACTCCTACTCTCTTCAGTCCGATGAAAACTTCTCCGTATCATGACACTTGCGTTGCTGGCAAGCGTTGATGAAATTGGTTGTTATCTGTATCGTTGTATCGGAATGGTAGTCTCCTTAGGTTTTGTCACAAAAGTCATTACGTATGCTGTCTTCTGTCGATTTTCTTTACGGCTCAAAACAAGAAGTTTTAGCCAAAGCTAAAGGCACTTTCTACAGCATCGCTCGTACCACAAATTCTTCTAAGGTCAGTTCTTTATATGTCTTCGCCTAACAACAAGTGTGAACTTGCTAAGCTAATCGAACGCGGCATGATTAAGTGACGCTGTAAAAGCTGTAACAGCTACCGCAGTACCAGTCGTAATAGTGGCCGTGTAGCCTGATAAAGGTCCAGGCGAAGGCGTAGCAATATCGTTTTGGACCTTACCGTAGCATCCTTCGGGCCCAAGTAAATACAAGCCCGCAAACGAAAAGGCGTTCCCATCGGGGATGTGACAGCCTGAACTAGGCCGCCGTCGACGTCGCCGTCGTCGTCGCCGTTCACTCCACCAAGGGACCACAAGAACCAACGAAGTAGCTAGTGAAAATATACTACAAAGGCAGAACTCAGCCGCTACACCGTAGCATGAAAAGCACAGTGATCACAAAAGAAGGAATGTCCGAAAACAGTCCATTTATTTAGTCGGTCACAGACTTCTGCAGGCTGCGTCCTATTGCCTCCAGCGCCTATAGAGGTGACCGGACCCCTTGCCTATTTGTGTGCAGCACTGTGATGTGCGCCAGTGGGAAAACGTACTCAGCGTGTATTCAGTTAGTAGATTCTAGGGAAATCTATACGATTTTTTGTCAGAAAAACTGTAGAGTAGATTGACTTCGTGATGATCACTTAAGCACTGGGCTGTTTTGTTGAACAAGTAAAGACTCAATTGTATACGTTTAAGGTGACGAGAAAAAACATGTGAGTTCCATATTCTTAGCTATCGCCTTGGACGGACTATATGAAATCAGGGTTACAGCTTTCAGAGCCAAAACCAACTGCGCATCTTTATGTTCTTTGTATTTGTACTTTGTTTTTTCAAATTACTCAGTTGAACTCTCGACGACATAGTAATATTTGTCCAGTATACCCTTCAAGTACTCTGCCTTCCACAGTGATGTAATCTTCAATATTATTTGATCCGCCCCTCACTTACTTAGTTCCGGAAACTGTACCAGACAGCAATATCATGAAAAATACTTCGCGTTTGAGTCATCACCCTGACATAGCCATCAGACCTTGAATCTTATGTCCTCTATCTTTCTTGTGGCGCCTTTTCTCTGGCCCATTCTCCAATCTTTGTTTTACCTTCTATTAAGGATGAAGCTCTTTCCAGCAGGGAAAAAGATGGGTCGGTCGAGAAATAGCGATAATCGCCGCATCAATTCAACACACTTCATGATTCCTCCACTTATTTCTCAATGAACGCTAATTTTACCAGTCAGTAGTATGTACAGGAACGGGATGGTACGCTCGGCAGACAAATAAGTACCCTTGCTTTCTAGGCGGACCTATCCGGGGCGCCACCCTACAAACCTTCCGTCACTTTTTCCCGCACGCTATAGCTTAGAATATAGGGTAAGTTTATCGTAGCCTCTGCTTTTTTCTCTTATAGGTTATTGTTACAAATGGACAAAGTCAGCTCCGGTGCGGCTACAGCGCGGTCCGAGTTGAAACAGTCCCTTTCTGTAGAAACGTAGTATTGATTTTCGTTTTTTTGCTGCATCTCGTGCACTGCCAGTACTTCCGAATGCCGCGACCTCTGTCGCTCCGCATTGCATCATCCCTCGACCATCTATGTTGGTTTTCGTACTAGATGCACAAAAACAAGCCCAATCAAGACCCCAGCAAAAATCAAAAAGGCCCTAACCAAGCTGACAGCAAATTATCCTAAAACAAGGGTTCCTGCTCCCTGTCCTTCCGTTCATTTTGCTCAGTTGCACTGTTGACTAAATTTCAATGACATTTTGGCAACGCGAGACGGAAGCCAGCGACTGGTACGGTAGCTTTTGCAACTGGCTTCCGGTCCAAGAGAAATAGATACAGTGGTGACAACAACAGACTAAAATGAGGAAAAGGAAGTATCATAGACAAAAGAGAATTTAGTGTAGGCCAGCTTCCATATTTTCTCTATTCTTGGTGCTCATATTCTCTCACTTTAAGCCGTTCTTGCTACGTTGGATCTAAGTTGGCTACCCTTTTGAAGCTTGTAATTCAGGTAATATTAATATATATACATATTAATATTCTCTGAAATATCCACAATAGTCGAGGTACTTCCAAGGGGACTATATCTGTAATCACATTACGGCGTGGCGCCGGAACAGCTTGGTCGATGCTTATGAAAAGTCCAAGCTTACCAAACCACAGCTGTACGTACTGGAAGAACGAGAGGACGTAATTTTGTTAGGCGCCGGTGTGAACGGGACAGCTCCTAATCCTAGTCCACGCATGGAGGAGAGATCGAGAGATGAAGAAGGCGATAGGAATAACTTGTATTTGTAAGGTCCAGGCACAATCTATCTATGGTGATAGAGAAGCAATGGAGAAGTTCGCTGATGCGTGTTCGCTTTCGTACTCTTGCCGTGCTTCCTTCTCCTAGAGGAAGTCGCTGGTTCAGGCTAGTGGCATTAATGGCAATTGGCCCTTCCTACTTACCTACTACAGCACTAATGCAAGGGCGCAAAGGGTAAAGCAGTATCATAAGACGGCAGGATAGCTTACGGCGATAAGGCTAACGTCGAGAGAAGACGGGAACAGAGAAAAGGATGATAGCAGCAAACAAATCTTACCAGTTGTCAAATAGATAGTTAGTGTTGCCGTGCAACGTAATCGTTATCCACATGTTATATTTAATGGACGATTGACTTTGTCCTATATTGCTTACCACTGGGGAAGTTGCCATAGACTCCTTCTGCAGGCACCGCCACCAGTGCACCTGTTATTGATAAAACAGCTGTTGTTACCAAAAACAGCTTATGTGCACGCTTAATAACAGTACGCTGGCAAGTTTGTAGCGTGGGTTGGCTATCATAAAGTTGTTCTGGCAATAACTCCGTTTAGGGCTGAGACGGACTAACTAGTGTGATCTGGCCCGATCGTTATCATTTGGTGAGACACAGTGCTAAAACTATTTTTTGTGATATTAAAAGGCTAACGATAGATCGCAGATACAAGGGAGTGAAAATTATCTAGAAGGAACAGACATGATGAATCGTTCCTTTAGTGATCTGGTTTCAGGACCTCTGAGTGCATCACAGAGGTCTCCAAAGAGGAGGGAGAAATTATCTATCTGTGTTGTGTGCTTGATTGTAGGTTCCTTAGAGTTCGAGAAGCGGTAAACAAAAAGCGAAATCGGACTTATACGAGTTGGACTCGCTCTGACGCATAAAGCCCGGATGGGTACCAGAATCGGACCTAGACTTATTTAAGCTTGTCGGCCGAGCCGTTCGAGTGTAAATAAAGGGGTTACATAGACTTAAGGAGTTGTCGCCACCTATATTACATCTTTTTTTGCACAACAGCAGCCAAGCTTAACTTGGCAGTA